GGGGGTGCAGCTCACCTGCGACGTCAAGCCAGGTGCGGGGCGGCACGAGGGGCCCGGGGCGGGAGGGCACAGCCCACAGCAGCACCGCCCGGCCGCGGCACGTAGGGTTCCTGCAGCCCGCCGAGGAACTGTGGGGTCGCGGAGAGCCGCGGGGTGCTGCGTCTCCTCGAGCCGGGCAGGTGTCTGCTGGGCCAAGGGGCTTCAGCATCTCTGAGAGCCCGGACGCAGGGGCACCTGAGCGACTGCACCGGAGCTCGTTGTTTTGGGAGAGTTAGCAAGAAAATCTGGCACTGGTCTTCACATCATGTGAGGGAATTGCTGCTGTGGTTCCTTTCTCTGCTCCCCTTCATCTCCCCTCTATAAACACGGGCACCTAGGAGACCTAGAGCTGATGAAATGTGGCAGAATATTTTAGTGCTGTTTTTAAACAAGTTTAAGTCTCTCTCTTCACTGTCTGGTATTTCTGGTGTTCTTAATTTATAGCAACACTGTAAAAGCCTTCCATGGGGTGGGTGTATGTTCCATACCCAGACTGGTGCCATTGGTAAGAAACTTGCTATTACTACCAAACTGTCTTGATGTATTAGCCAGGGTAAAAAAAAATTGTAAAGTGTGTCTTACAGTGCATTGTTCTGGACACTTGCCTGTCCATTGACTAGCACAGCTCTGGTGAATTTGGTGTCCCTGTAGGAAGCCGGGCACATCTATGGTTATACTCACAGGTCAGCAGGAAGGTTTCTAATTGCCAGGGATTTATGGATATGAAGAGCACCAACAGGTCTTTAATAACCACAAAACAGTTTGGATTCTGCTTTAATGCTTTGTCTGAAAGATAGGAAATATATTAGGAAGGGTGATTTATTTCCCATTTGTTAAAAGCTAATGTAAAGCATGAAGAAGGTAATTTAAGCTTTGTCACATCTGTGTGGCAGATATGAGTGCCATGGCTGCTTCAGACACCAGAGCACATGCTAAACCTACAAGTTATCGAGGTTTACTTAGTGAAGTGATATCTCCAAAGGAGACTGCTGCATTTAGTGATTCCAGTTCCAGGACTGACATTTAAGCCCCCCCGATCATAATGCAGTGGCACTGCCTGCCTTCAACTTGCCTGCAACTGTCCCCAGATGTCTTAGAGAACCTCTGTATGATTAGTGACCAAAGGTGGACAAGAAAACAAGTCAGTATGGTTAACCTCCTTTTTCTCTGCTTCTGTGCGTACTCTTCTTTGTACTGTCATCAAAAATGTCATGCCTCCGTTTTGCCAAGGAGCCCAGGATATTTGCATTTTCTTCATCCATACCAAAGTCCTTCTCTGTGTTATACAAGCCTTGGCAAATACTAAGAACATTCTGCTTGTCCAGAAAAGAGTAATACTTTTGGATGGTGCTGAAAACAGGCACGTTGTATCTCTGTTCAAGTCTTACAAAGAGCATCCAGCTCAGCATAAGCTCTTTCTCCAAACATTATCTTATTCTTTGGTGATCTCAGTCTGTGCTGCCCAGTCTCCAAAACCATCAGCAGTTGCAGCTAACATAGTGACTTACATGCAGCTCTCGTCTTCTGTGTCTTAGGTTTGGGACCTCTGCCCCTCAGATATGGGTCAGAGGAATTAAAGCTGAAGGGTCAGAGGGTGAAGATGTTTGGAGACTCAGAGCTCCCTCTTTCAATTTTATGCTCTTTGCAGGCCTGATGCTGGGTAAAGTCTTGGAGGAAGAGAAGTGTGGTTAGAAGTTTCCCTTAACAAAACCCTTGAATGTGTCAATAATGGATTATGGGCAGTGGTGATAATGGATTTGTGCATTCATCTTCCTGTGGCAGGGAGAAGTGCTCTATATATTGGAGGGAGAGCAGTGTACTGCACTGCCCACTAAACCGTGTAATCTCATGGAAGGCGCTGTCGACATGGAACACACAGCGAGCAAACCTGTGATAACACACCAGCTTCTGTGTGAGTTTTCAGATGACGACCACAGCACCCTCAGAAGTTCTCCTCTTGCACTGCCATTGCCATCAGCTCACTGCTGCAGTTGGTGTGAATGAGTCTTGCTGGAGACATGCTTTTGTCCAGACTGGATGGAGGACATATATACATGTTTTGCCCATTCCAAAGACAGGACCCAACCAAGACCTTCAAAAGGCATCTTTCTCTCCTAGGAGTGGAAGAGCAGCATGCTGAATTCATCACCATCTAGCAGAAATTCCATATATTTGGCATCAGGAACAAAAAATAAGGCATGTTGATTGTCTTTGGTTTCCTTCAAGTCAGTGTATAGGCAAGCATCCAGCATTCTGCTCTGCCTGCAACCTCTAGCATTCTCTGTTTCCCTGAGACCTTCTTTTTAGCACAGGTCAGTGGGTTTCCTGCAGTAGTGCAGAGGAATCCCCATTGGCAACTAGAGTCAAATCTTGCAAGTGAGAATGGTTTGTATTGCAATTCCAGCATGGTTTGTCTACTGAAACAAACAGAACAAATTATGTGATGATAAGATCTCTAGTCTGGGGAAATGCATTGACAATTGTCTGAGGAGAGCTGCAGCTCAAACAGATGTAATATCCATGACAAGGGGAAATGGCTTCCAACTTAAAAGAGAGTAGGTGTAGATAAGATATTAAGAAGGAATTCTTTACTGTGAGGGTGGTGAGGCACTGAACAGGTTGTCCAGAGAATTTGTGGATGCCCCACTCTTGGAAGTGTTCAGGGCCAGGTTGGATGGCGCCCTGAGCAACCTGGTCTAGTGCAGGGTGTGCCTGCCCATGGCAGGGGCATTGGAACTGGAGGAACTTTAAGGTCCCTTCCAAAACAAGCAATTATTTGATGATTCAAGAGACAGGTCAGTGACTGTTCCTGTCTTTGTTTTTAGAGGAACATTTCTGTCAAGGTACCATTTCAGCACATCACTAATACCAGCAGAATGAGATGTTCCTTTGCCTTTGACCTCTCCTCAGACAGCAGGGGATATGGAATATACTTCCTAGGTGACCCAGAGGCCATTTTTCTACCTGCATTAATTCACCATGCACAGGTGGAGATCTGGTGGCGCATCCCAGCCTATGACTGCCAGCTTTGTGACAGTGCCTGATTAGATTTGCAGTGATTCTTTAGTAATTAAAATATCCCTGCCCTAGTTAACCTGCTAGAAAAAACTGTGTTTTGGTGAACAGAACAGTATGTCGTTCAGCCTGTTAAAAGCCCCATTCATATGAGGTGCAGTTTACTCAGATGCTTGCTGAAGACCATGCCTGATGTCAACCTTCCATGGTACAGGCCAATACCAGGGGCTCAAGCTGATTCCCAACATGGTGTCCATGTTTGCAGGTTCATGTGCATGAGGCAGGTGACTGTCACTCTCCACCAGCTTCCCGTCACAGCCAGCACAGGACATCTGCGGGTATTACACAAACCTCTTCATCATCTTTTCAGCCAGTATCACCAGCACCACACCTACTGCCTGGAAGACTCCTGCCAACTGCAGCTGAACCACCACTTCTTTTGGCCAGGTGAAGCTGTTGGAGAGCAGACTCGTAGTCCCATTTCACATCAGATGAGCTCATTGTCCCAGCTATTTCTCAGCAGCACTGTGAGTGCACCTTACTTCAGATGGAAGACTGGCATCCCAAAAGAAGGAATGCACAGAAACTGGTTTTTGTTGTCTTATCCTGTTCTTTGTTAGCTCAAATCCAGTATATTGCAAGCTATCTTAATATTTAAGTTAATGCTGAAAAATGAAAATGAACATGTGCCTTATGCTGTGAGTAAAACTAACCAAACAGTAAAATAGTTTGGGAACTGTAAACAAAAACTGGGTATGGTCTTTGTTCATTGTGTCATCCTTCACATCCTGTGCTTGTAAGAATAAAAATTAGTGCTGCTTAAGAGCAGATGAGTGATTATATGGATTGAGGATTCTCTGGCAGTGCCCAGCAGCAGATAACTGTAGAAAGTAGGGCATGATATTTTCCTAGATCATTTTCCCAGCTCCAACCGTTTGTTGCTTAGATTTCCTGAATCTGATCAATGTCTATCTTTAAGCCCCAAATTGATTTTATTTTTGAAGTTTTAGTGTATGGAACTGCTGCCTTCATTTAATGCCCTTTAATTCTTGTATTGGAAGAAAGACTGAAAAGTCTTTCCATATTTACTTGCTTTAGGATACCTATAATATAGCACAGTCTGGTTTCTTTTTTTCTTTTCCTGATCCTGAAAAGTCTTACCTACTTTCTCATATTACAGCAGTATCATATGTTAGACTTCCCTTGCTGCCCTTTTTGTGAACTTGTGAGTTCTTCTATACTCCTTTTTGAGATGGGGAACCAGCAGTGCATTCTGTATTCAGATACTGTATTGATTAATGTAATGTCATAATGATATATTATCTTCTATGTTCTTCTAATTAATCCTAGGATTTTTTTTGCCTTTCTGACCTCTGTTGGGCACTGAACTGATGATTACATGGCTCTGAAGCCCAACATCTATATCTTAATATATTACTTCAAGATAATTTCCAAGGGGTAATAATTAGAAGTATGACATTTGATCTAAAAAATCTTGGAAATATTTTTTTCTCAGTGAGAACATCAATTCACCTTTATCTCCTCTGAACTTCTTTTTAGTAATTTTATTGCTGCTGCTCAGTATCATAGGCTCCTTTTGCAGCTCTTTGCAATTGACCCTTACTTTTACCACCCTTAATAGCTTTGTATTTGCAGCAAGTTTTATCACTTCATTTTATCACTTCTACAGTGAAAATTGGCCATTTGCTCTTTACTGTGTTTGAACATGTACATAGGAATGATTAATCTGTTATTGATGTGGTGATTAATTTATGCCCTGAAGCAGGGGCAAATGTTGATTTCATAAACTGCTTATGAAATGGAAAACCTTGTGGTTCCATGATGCGGCTACAAAGATAGCAAAGGAACTGACCTTATAATGATGTCTTGAATTTAGTGAGATTTTTCATTAATTTGCTAAAATTGGAATGTTTTTGAAGAGATAATACAACAAGCTTGGACAATAATAGATCTTTTGTATTTCAGGAGAAAATGAAGTTCCATCTGAAGATGCCCTAATACTACAACTGCATCTCGCAAAAGGACATGAGAAATTCACTGAAATGCTAAAAAGCCAACAGCAGATCATTGTTGATTTGCAGCAAAAACTTGCTGAACAGCAGCATGTGTTGGTTAGCCAGCAACGGGAGATTCTTGAACAGCAAAGAAAAATGTATGAGCAAATGGATCTGATCAAAGTCCAGTATGGCATGCTTTTTGATACAGTGAAACAAATGTCATTTCAGAGTTTGCAAGAAGATATTCAAAATTATTTTGAAAGTCATCTTCATGGACTTCAAAACCAGGTCAGAAATCATCTCCAGAAGTCATACTCTGTGGACAAAGTAGAAGTGGATGCAAAAGTGATTAATGTTGGGGAGTCTTTGCTGGACTGTGGCCTTTGTGAAAGTGATGAATTTTGCAATTTCCAAAAGACACCTTCACAATGTGAAAAATGCACATTGTGTCCTGCTGGTTTTTTCCAAATGACTGAGTGTTCTGCAAACTCTGATCGGATTTGCCAGGTGAAACATAATTATGTATCTTTCAGTTATTGCTTATGAAGCATTGTGTTGGACATGTTGGGATAACATTCTGGAAATAACTACTCGGGGAGCTAGAAAAGTCTGGTTTGGAGCATATGTGTTATCAAATGGGTCTATGAAACTTCAAAGTCTGCCAGGAGTTTTTTTGTGGGTTTCTCTTTAGCATTTAGTGTTCTAAATGAGTCACTGGTTTTTCCCTGTTGGGTGTGATGCTTTCCCAAACCTGACAGCTGGCAAGACTTTCATTCTTCTCATCATGGTAGGAGAAGACATCTTAAAAATTTAGTCTTCCATGTTAAATTTGTTTATTTAATTCCATTACACTCTACAGGAGCTTCTAGACATCTATGAAAAGCACAGGAAAGCTTTATTTAGCATAAGTCAGACATTTATTTATAAGTTTGGAAACAGAAGTTGTCAGTTAAAGGAAATGTAAAAATTAATGCCTTCTTAGACATAATACAAATACATGAATACAGAACATGAATACTTCTGCTAAATGCATTTTATTATAAAGTACATTTTATTATCCAACACAAAACTAGCATGCAAGCAAAATAAGATGGATTTTTGTTTTCTTTCTGTCATTAAGAAGTCCTAAGATATACAGACAACTTGATATTTAAAGCACTATCTTGTTCACTAAGTGTTGCCCCCAGTTCTTAGCTTAACATGAGCTGACCAGCTGGATCAGATGCTGAGAACCTGAATGTGTCTGTCCAGTTCCCTCTCTGCTAGCCTCAATTTTCTTTAATGCTAGAACTTAAAGGCAAATGTAGGCTGTTTTTCTTTCCCCTTTGCCTGCTTCAGGGTGAAAAGAGGGCTTGTTGACAGGGAATATTACTTTCTAATTTACTTGTCATGTGTGTTTTGGTTAGCAGCTTCCTCCCAGACTTAATGTTCTTAAAAGCCTTTCCTGACACTGTCTTGATTGTTGCAATGTCCTTAAGATCAATTGATTGATGCACCAGTCTTGGGGATGTTGCTTGTGCAACACCTCTGTTCAGCTCATTTGCACACTGCTTCCTTCTGTGGCATCACACAGTGTTTCTGGATACCTGGTTAGGAGAGGTAACAAATCCAAATCAAAATTGTCCTGCTCTAACATGCTTATGGGATCAAGCCCTTCTCCATCCCTACATAAACCTATTACATACAGATGGATGTCACAGAGCCTGAAATGAAATGTTTCAAATTTAAGTTGTCATATTAAACTCTTTCAATATGATTCTTGTGATTTACAGGACAGAGATGAGTGCACTGAATCTCCAAGCATTTGTGGTGAGAGGATAAAATGCCTCAATACTCCAGGTGAGTTATATTCTCTGATAAATAAAGAATGAAGATAATTAGATCTCCAGGAACAGGCCAAAGAAATAGATAAGGACTCAGGCTTGTATGTTAGTGAGTAGTGATATGCACAGCTTGCTGGAATCAAAGGGGTTAAAAACCACAGATCTGTACGTTTATAGCAGTTCTTATAGCTATTTAGGACATTAATATCTTTTATAAGCATTGGATGGTTCCTTTTGCCTTATTTTCGTAGGGCTTTATTTGCATTGATTTTGATTTTCTCTTATAACCCGACTTTCTTCTTTTTTATGCTGGTGCCGATAGGGCCCAAATCAAAGATATTATTCCTAATTGAGAAAAATATTTGTCATTTTCCTTCTGGTGTACTGAGGTGGATACCTGATTTGATCTAATGAAGACTCTTATAAGACCTCCCTCCATGAATCTTATTCTCCTTAGCAATAATATTGTCAAATACTGAGGAAAGATCAACAGTTTCCATCACTTGAGGACGCTTTGGGGGAGTTTTTCAGACTTTTAAGAACAAATCTGTCTGGTGTTTTGCACTGCAGACTTCATTATTTCATTACATTCTCATGGCAGTCAGACACAAAAGAGCAAAATCAATAGACATACAGAGAAAGTTTTATCCAGGTACTAAAATTCTTTATATTGTTCTAACTTTGGTCATCCAAAAAACTTTGAAAGGAATTCTGTGGTCGAACAGGGCATTTCACCAGTTGTGACCTGTACCTGAGGTCTCACAGTCAAATAACCCAGGAAGGGCTTCATTAGATTCTATGTTTTTCCTTCTCTAGGCTTCTAGACTTGTTAGAAGAGGGTGACCTCTTTGAGGGGTAAGAACTGTTTTTAGCTGATTGTGAGTGATTTTGTGCCTTTTTTGCCGAGTCACTAGTGGAGAAAAATTTGGGACCCTAGGAGAGGATTAAAAGAGGGTGTGGGCTTTCCTATATTGTCCTTCCTTCCTCTGGACAGGGGTTGTGTTGGTTTGGAAGGTGTTACTAAAAACACTTCAGGAAACTGGAAATGACTTGAGGAAGAGGGCATTTAGTGTTGCCTTGTGTGGTAAATGCTGCACACGAGGTACCATCAGTCTTACAAAAGAAGAGGGAAGACACTTTTGGAGAGTCTTAGAGGTGGACAGTTGGAGACAAGGCAGTGTAGAGCACAGAATTTGAGTCAAAGCATTGGAAAGGTGTAAGGCTTTGTCTTGTCTTTATTGAGACATTGGGTTTGCTCCCATTGGTGTTTTGTTGGATGGAAGCCCACAAGGCCTCAGCCCTAGGAAAGGAGAGCCACCAGTGTGGTAGTCATTTGGTGTTGCTCTAGTCTGCGGCTTGGAAGGGGGAAGGGAAGGGGGAAGGCTGTAATGAACTTACTCATTGGGTTCTGTGGAGGGGAACCAGAACAAGAAAGGGTCTGTACAGCTGCTGGAGGAATGTAAGTGAGGGCAAAACACTGCCAAGAAGCAGATGGGTAGTGATGGTGTGTCAGACCACAGAAAGGCAGTAGCAATGTATTTGGAAGGAAAGGAATCTCCCCTCTCTTCCTCTTCTCCCAGTTTTAATGGTGGTATGGAGATATGTGAAAGCAAGTTATCACCCATCACCTGGACAGGAATCGATGTCCTGACAATGTTGTTCCCATCTGTCATGGAAGAGAAAGTGTTCCTATTGTTTTTTGTTAGAGACAACTGCTACTTTCAGCCTGTCTGTTCATGGTAGCTCATTATCTCATACAAATGCGATTAACGTGTCAAAAGAAAGGCTGAAACTGAATGTCTGTTTTGGGTAAAGAAGGGAAGAAGGGAATGTGATGTGACATATGAGTTCCAGATGTTGTTGAATGTGCTTTCTCAAGCTGCACGCAAAGGTTGTTGCATCTGTAGCAACTCATGTTCAATGTACGTTGTGAGGGGAGACAGAGCAAATAACAGTAAAGAATCATGTAACCAGGAGCCTCTCTTTCTTCACACTTCCACTTTCCTCTACATCATACCTTCTTCCCCTGCTGCTTTTTCTCACTTCTATTTGGGATGAGAATGGTTGATTTATTTGATTAGCGGTATGTAATCAGTGAAAATAGGGTTTGGTGCGTCATTTCCTTCTTAGACAGCCATGGGAGAGTAGTCAGATAGTTTATCCAACAAACAGGATCAACCAAAGGCACTCTCCCTGGAATGCCATGCAAAATAAAGAGGACTTACTGCAGAGCTTACTGTAGGATGCAAGGGGAAGAGGAATGAAAACCTTGACAGATAGTCCTGATTTGTAATGAACCATATTGATATGTGATGACCCAAATTTGATATAGAGGGTTTAAAAAGAGAAGGATTCCCATACTTAATCTGCCCAAACATAACCTTTGCATCAGGCAGTTGTGAGTAGTAGCAGCAGAAAAATACATGCATAGCTTGCTGTAATTGCCTTTCAATTACCTGGCCTCTGTGAGTGGCAAGGGCTGGGGATTGTGCTGCAGAAAGATTCAATTTCACAAAGCCAGGCTGAGTACAGCTGGACTGCTGTACTCAGTACAGGTGTCAGGCGCAGCAGTGCTCAGAGCAAGGAGCCAGGAAGAGGTGGCAGAGTTTGTAAAGTGATAAAGGGCAGCAGGAAGCAGTCCCAGCATGCTGCTGTGCTGGTTTGCTGCTGTTTGGCTATCATTTGCTGCCTGACCTCTTCTGGGCAGAGAGCAGGGTGCTGCTCTTGCAACTGTGCCCACAGCAAGAAGCAGTCTGTGTGCTGCTTTGAAGTCACCTATTTGAAGTGCACACAGGGGGAACACCTGCTGCAGATCTAACCAGTAAAAGACTTGACAGCAAATGAGCACATATAGCCGTCACAAGTATTTGTGAAACATGGTGCCTGTTAATGCTCAAATATACACTAAAATATTTTAAAGAAACAAATAGAATAAAAAGTGTTCCTAGGCACTACTGAAAATTTTCTCTGCCTTGTGGACCAGCTGAATGTGTATACTTAGTATCAATTCATCCAGTATTTCTCACTGACGGTGGAGCTACTGAAAGGAGAAGTAGAAGTGGATAAGAAATGCATAGTGGTTAAAACTGATTTAAAAGGGAAAGATTGTCTGGGACTTTTTTCTATACTCCCTCTAGAATGCTTTTAGTTGAAAAAATGTAATCTTATTTATTTGGCTTTTGTTTCTCATAAAAAAACAAGACACTTTCAGAGAGGAACAAAGTGTTAAGTTTCTCTTGACTTTTTTTCAGATGAAAAAAATCTTACTGTTCTGCGGTGAACTCTTTTGATAAAATGGTACCTGATTTTAGAAGGAATATTCTCACATCATAGATTGTGCAGTCCTACATATCGATGTTAGTGGAGAATCATCACTTAAGTGAATGAGGAGGAAATAGACAAAGTGATATGAGGGTGAATATATGAAGCCTGTATGGATTAACACAATGTCTGCTGTTTTCTGCTGAATAATGTAGTATCAGAAGTGAATTCTAGCCAACATTCTGACCTTCCCTGTGGGCCAGGTTTGTGTACTTGCAGTTTGCAGCAAGTGTGGTGAGCTTTTCTGTCTACATCAGCAGTCGGCATAGCCAGCACCACCCTGGGCTAGCAGTGGAGAATCCATTGTTGGGATCCTTGCAAATGCTGCTAGTCCCAGTCTTAGAGCAAATCCCAGCCCAGGTACAGGAAGTTTCCACCTAAAGAATAATGCAAGTGTATGACATGGGATCTAGACCTATAGGATCATAGATACTAAAAGATATTTAAGATCTGTTAGAAAGATGGTTATTGAGTTTTGATCATGGTGGTAAAAAAGCATAAATGAGTGCATTAGTGATTAAGTTTTGAGACACAAGCTGCAGGTGGTTAATTCTTTATGATGCTTCAGATCTTGTGTGTTGATTCAGATCCTGGCATCTCCATGTACAAAGGTTTTGGGTTCTGGTTGCTCCAGGTGGAAGCACTGGCAGCTGGTGGTGCTCTTGGAAAATTGCCACAAAAAATTAAAGACTGTTTTTAAAACCTGTTTTTTTAATGTGCATTCTTTGATCCACTGAGGTTATGGTGTACCATTTAACAGCACAAAATTGCTTTGTGTCAAACAAAGTAATTTCAAACAGCACATGTATATTCTCCTCACTGTTTGCAGCAGTGTTTTACTTTAGCTTGATCACAACCACTGGTGTCCTGTGTCTTAGGGCAGTGGTTTTCCACTTTTTAAATGCGTGGGCTGCTGCATAATTATTTTAAGCCTGCTGTTTAAAGTTTTGATTTTCCTATTTGTGTCTTGCAGGTTTTTTAAAAATTGTATACAGAATGAAATCCAGGGGTCCTTGTTCCTTGGGTTGCAAATCACTGCTTTAGCAATAACAGCAACACCAGGGCTAGCCCATAGCATGTCTGGGCAGGCAGCACACATTTCTCCCTGTGTAGGGGAACTCTCCATTAGTTGAAAGGAGCTCCTTGGTGCACCAGTCACTGTGCCTTTTAGGTCAGAGAAGGAAGAGACTGTCTTTGGGGCAATATCATTCTATATGATATGTTACAGGTTTTGGTTAGAATTGCCCCTATGTAGCTTCTTTTTCACTCCAAACCATTGTACGTGGTTCGGACAAGGTGAGTTATGCCTAATAGTTCCTCTGTAATCCATCAAGGTTTCTCTAATAGCATAAAGTGATCTGACATCATAAATATCTTCTGTTTTCTCCCTTATGATTAGATATATATATATATCAAAGATACTTGGTATGTGGAGCTGTAGAGTTCTTACTTTCAGCATTTTAAAGGTATGACAATAAAAATAGTCCATTTCCTGTGCACAGGTGGTTTCCGATGCCTTGGAATTGCTGAGAAAGATGCAGCTTTGGGAATGTGTGGAGAGGAACATTTCTTTAATAAGGAAATGCAGGAATGCCAAGCGTGTTTAAAGTGTGAAGATGGAGTGGTGGCTGTGCCTTGTTCTGCTGTCAGTGACACGGTTTGTTCAGCAGCCAGTGAAAACAAGCTCTCAGAGTCTTGGGCTGCAAACATTGTTCTGCCCTCCGTAAAGTCTGGCATCTCTCAGGTCTACTCTGGCTTGAGCTTGAAGATCAAGGGAAAGCTTCCCTGTGATATCCTGTCCACTGAAGAGAGCAGCCTGGTATTCAGGCAACATGGTCTGTTGTGGACTGACTTAAATTTTGCAGTAAAGCATAACTGTAGGAACTTTTTGCAACTTTCCTTAAAGCTCAACGGCAGTGAGGAAGACTATGAACTGAGCGGTGTTCGGATCGAGCAGCCAGAAGGAAAGTATTTCCAGAGCACTAGTTTAAGTAGTGCTGCTGAAGTGGAGCCCAGCCAAACTCTTTCTGTGTATTTGAGGAGCCCTAATCAATTCTGCAATCAAAGCAAAGACTTAAATATTTATGATCTTAATACCCCGCTCAGTTTGTTTTGGTTGTCCCATGACACAGGTGCCGTGGCACTCCGTGCGCAGATGTCAACAGCGATGCATTACCAGACCAACTATCGACCTACCTTTAAAATAATTTCTGTTTCTGACCCTTATATGCTAAGTTTGTCTCATGATGGCAGAGCTATAAAGTTCACTGAAACTGGTGTTGTCAAATTTGTGTTTCATCAAGCATTGTATTCCATGGGTCATACGTGTGTCCGGGAGGGCTTCTCCTTAATTTCTTACATCAATAGGAATGGTACCAACAGAGAATTAATGAATGTATTTAAATCTGGGGTAAATTACAGAGACACATCAATATCTGCTTCTGGGGCCACAAAGGTTGGTGCTGGAGATCTGGTTAGCTTTGAGATACTTTCTCCTGCACAGTGTAATGTTCGCTATTTTGGAGATAGTTCTGGAATTAGTATGTTTAGCCTCATCTGGATCCCTTCAGCAGTTTCTAGTGCCATATCAGCCACAGTTTCTGTTACAGCTCTGCCTACTGGAGCTGTGAGGAACAAACTACTGGATTTCACACAGGTCTCTTCCAATGAGAAACAGATACAACTGGTCTCTTCTGGACAGCTTGCTCAGAAGTATTTTATTTTTACTGAAAAGGGAGTTGCCAGCATTGCGTTTAACTTAAAGCTAATCCATTCCTGCAATGTGCTCAAAGTGACTCTCAATCAGCTGACCACGGATCACATGCAGCCCACTGCAGTTGCTCAGCAGATTGGAGGTCAGATGCCAGAGGGAAGCATATGGACCAGCGTGTCCCTCCGTGCATCTTTTGAAGTACATAATGGAACATTGGTATCAGTTTCTCTTGACTGTGTGCGTGGAAGGATCAATCAGATCACTCATGAACATGGAACCAGTATATCTATTTTATGGATTTCATCTTAATTTCTGTGCAGTGAAGTTAGCATGGAATTGGGATTTCAATTGTATTTGGAATCTACTCTGATTCTATACATATTTGACACTATACTGTGTCGACTTGAGCGGATAATCCCACAGAATGCTTTCAATTTTAGGAATATTTAAATATAATCTTAACTGAATGATCACTATTTAAAGAAAGCAAGAGCTTTCAGTCAGGATTTTAATTCTGCTACCATCTTCAGACAGGGGAATGTCAAACTCCCTTATTTTTAATAAAACAGCCTCTTAAAATTGATTATTTCTGGACCACAAAAAATTGCAACTGAGGGTAAATAGCGTTTAGTACTGTAACTGAAAGCAGCATAGTCAAATAATTTAAACCTTTCATTTGCTTTCATATGCTTTCATTTTTTTCATGCAACAGGCTAATAAAAAGACTAAATGTACTTTGAGGCTAATTTGTCTACATCATACAAAATGTTGTGCTTTCCATGAAGGGAGAGAACATGCTTCAAATAGGTGATAATGTGGCAACACTGGAGTATACATTCTTAATATTGTGGAAAGGGACTGGGTCAAAAATAGAATATTGTTTTTACAACAAAAACAGTGGAACTAATGATGGCTCTAATTTCATTTGGAAGTAATCTGCATTTAATAATTTAGGAAGGCTTTTCTCTGTTTTTAGTTTTGCCAGTGAAAAGTTGCAGAATGAGGAGGAAGGGGGTCTATTCTAACAAGAAAGAGTATATAGGCAAAAAGAAGCAAGTACTGAAAGAATGTATTGAAAATTAGACTTCGGAAAATTAAGCAGATTTTTATGCTATTTCTTTTAAACAGTAAAATATTTTTCTGATCAAAAGCTCCCATTATTTACAAGTCTTTTTTTTTTTTTTTTTTGAACAATTTTACTGAACAGGTATTTACATTAAAAAGGCTTTTCTGGTCAAATCAGTCAATTCAAGGAAATGTTGTATTCATTCATTAATTTTTATCTTCTTTCAACTCTTCCATCAAACTATTCTTTTTCTGAACTATGTAGACTCTTTTCTCCCATTTTCTCCTTTCTCCTCCACAAATGCTTCTTCACTCTCCTTTCTCATTTCTTTTGTTAGGAGTAAATGATGTGCCTTGTCACATCTCTTTCCAGCTTTCTTTCAGCATTTGTACAAAAGGACAGATGTTTGTGTCACTGATGTAACTATAAAAGAGGGACATTAACAGTGCACTTGCAGGCTGCCTTAAATTAACCCTACTGAAAACAAATACTATACACAATATAACTTTAATGTCCCTGCCTGAGTATGTATATCTAAAATATATGTACATTGCTGTGTTTTAATCTGTTTTGGAGAGTGTTACACTGTTTTTGCTGTATAGTGCCCTCCTATAATTTTCTGTAATAGAACGAACCCAAGTGCAAGACTTCTATCTGTTCATTGTTTTGTGACATTATAACTGTGTCCTTAACATCTGAAGTTATTTTTCCAGCATAGTTTGTTGTTTTTTTTTTCTTCAAGAATATGCTCAAGGATTCAGGCTTTTAACAAATTGCTTTCCTGCTCCAAATAGAGAACAGTAGTTTTTCTTGCTTCCAGCTGCAAAATCTAAGCAGTCTGTCAGAGGAGACCTCACTGTGCATTGTGTTGCAGCCAGTGTAAATACTCAAACCACGATCCTGGTGTCCCCAGAGTCTGTCAGTGACAGAGATCTTAGTGCCTGTGTGTGTAGCCAAGGTCTCATTCATTCTTGCAAGGTCATAAGGAAGGATGAATTAAAACTACTATTGAAGGTGTTCAGCACTTGCACGGTACTTCTATTATTACAGAAGATATTTTGTAGTGGTAGAGAAGAACTTCTGGAATGGAGAGCATGTGTATCTGTTGTGTGCAGAAGAGCTGCATTACCTGTGAGCAGAGCAGCTTTTCTGGGAACTTCACTCTTGGAGTCTACTGAGACTGAACAAAGATGAAATGGCACAAGAGTTAAAGTCCTCCTGACATACCCATTCTGATTTCTGTAGAAGGGTGCATGTGATGTAGGAGAAACTCTGCAGAGAGCACACCTGGGTATTTTTATGGTAAGAATTGAAGGAGAGACGATGTTAGAAAAAGCTAGAAATTGTAGGCCTATGTTTTTGTTTTAGAAGAAGTTAAAGAAGCTGCTGTCTCACAAACAGAACCCCTTATCCTTTGCTGGTTTGTGTTGTGCAGCTCTGTTGAACTCCCCAGAATGGCAGCTGAAGAGTCATTCTAGATTCAAACCTGTGTAGCAGAGAGCAGAATCTGGTGTTAGAAATAATCTGGTACATCTTTAGCAGATGTTACTTGAATAAAAATTTATCCATATGTGGCATATAGCAAATCTAATGGCATGATTTGTATTAGTATTCTTTATTTGAGTGAGGTTGTGAGATTAGTGGAGTTAAACAGGGCAGAGAATGATGTTACAATCCTGTATTATGCATGCTGGTGGTACTTGCACTTAAATGCACCATTATTAAAGGATACAGAAGCTACAAGGAAGGTACAAGTGAGCATTATTACAATTGAGAGAAGTTCCAGAGTATAAATTCTTCAATGTAATAAAACTTTCTTTAGAGGATTCTGTGGGGAGTGCCCATAATTTCCCTTAAATTCAGAGTAAGTTTTTAGATGCACAGTGTCAGAAACAGTAGTTTGCATCCAGCTGGTAGTGATAATGCATCTAATGTTCTACTCATGTCATCTGTGATAAAGCATTCAGAGAGTGAAAAAAAAGTCTTATCAAATATGTGTTATTATTTGCAATTTACAGCACAATTAGCCTTATTTCACGCAAGAAAAGGCTGATCATTTGGCCTCTTTTGAGTTTCTCCCTTTCAAAAAATGAAAAGCCTGGATCTGTTGTTCAGGGCACTCACTGACCTTGGTTATAGGAACAGGAATTTGAGTATGTTGGAATCAGAATAGATTTATGATAGCCTAATTAATGGTGTAGTATATAGCCTTTGCATCTATGAAAATGCTATATATATATATATATATATTGCCTCATACCATGCAACACGAAGTGGTGCACTAAGATCCTGAGTAAGATAAAGTTCAAGAGGAATTTATGCACAATGAATGCTAATCTTATGGCACTTATCCCATTTGCTGTAATAAATTGCATGTTTTATTGTCAGGTACCTTATTAATTATATTTACAATTTTTGAACTTTTTTATTTTTATTTTTTTCCATTAATAGTACAATATAATACTGTGAAATATGTAATTCATTGAAAAACTTATATTTTGCATCTTTTGATACCACATTCTTGAATATGGTTAAAATAGCTGGAGACAGGCTCTTCAATCTTTTCTGTCAGAGAGTGTCTCCAAAGGAAGGATTCACAAAGTAACAGAGTAAGTATAACACTGGTAGAATCTACCTGTACAGAATGACTTTAAGTTAATACATTCATCAAAGCAGGTGGTTATTCACTGTGTTATGAAGATAATGGACAACTTGTTGTTATAGAAAACTTGACCATTACAGGAGGAAAATAATTTAGGTTGAATAGTGCTGCTTATACAAAAGAAAAAAAGATTTGGCTTACAATACCTGCATTGATTTGTATTGGGAAACATTTTGCAAGTTCAAAGGTTTTACCTGAATATATTTATTACCTATGCAAATTTTTTATGCTTTCTGTCAAGTCAAAACTGGGCAGAATATGTGAAGTCTATTTTAATATTATCTCTATTCCTCTGTTCTGGGGTCTCTGCAGATTGCAGTACACTGTGAAAACTGTACTATTTTCTAGTTGTGCATTTTATGACATTTTCTACTTTGAAAAATTACCTTGTTTTAAAAATACTGTTTAGACACTTGCCTCTGTTACTATTATATTGTAATATGTTTTAAGAGAAATTTACTGAGATAAATAAAATGATAAAACTTCATTGGTATTTGTGTTCTGTTCTGAGGAGAACTGATGTGGCTCTTGGTGTTTTTTAGCACTGATTCTTCTGGGGCTGGCATTTCACAGATGTTACCTGAGTTAGTCACCTGTGCCTGCTGAGGTGGTGCTGAACAGGAATAATAACAGTGGACATTTCTAGAGATCTGCCTGCCTTCTGTTCCCATGGCTGAAACAGCAGATCTAAGATGAAAATTGTCATAAGAGCAGTACAGTTTATCCTGGTCGTGGCTGGTGCCCCAGTGACACCAAGAAGAAAGAAATTTCTCCTTCCTTGGTGCTTCATAGGCTCTCTGTTGTATGTGAAAGCTTTTATGGTGTTGGGGGAGGTCCAGATCAGGCTATTGCAGTAGCTCAGCTATGCTTCTGTCAGTGTCTGGCCAAGTTAAAACTTGTATTCTCAGTAGAAACTTCACAAGTATTTTAGATTGTACATCTGTTTCTTCTTTTTGGGGATGTTATTGCTTATTGATTGTGAACAGAAAGAGAGGTGCTGTCAAAAAGGGATTACAGACATCACTAGCGTACTCTAAATTACAGGTCTAGAAGCACACTGTGCCACCGAGCCTGGTGCCCCTTCCTTTGCTTGGAGGGCTTGCCTTACAGTATGGCTTCAAAGATATTAACTGTGTTAGTGCAGTGCCTGTGCTGCTTTTGCTGTGCTGACTGATAGAAGTTAATAGAGAGTGGGCCCCAAAATAGCTGAGTTGCCCATCTGCTGGACCTCAGCATCTCTCTGTCAGTACCTGTCTTTCGCTGTCTGGTTCTGGTTGTATGAAAGCTCAATGACTGTAAAAGAGGGATCCAAGAAACTCGTTTGCATTAAATAATAGAATTGCTGGATGTGATTTCCTCGCTAGAAGGGTGTTAATGCCTGGCTTTAGCAGAACCTTGAAGTAAAAGCCTGTCATGGTTATGCGTTTACGTATGTATATGTTTATATATTTATGTATGTATATATTTATATAATCTCCTTAGTCTCAGTTAAATAGCATTTTCTCTAAAAGAAGAACGGTGGAAAAAGCATTTTTAAAAGTTCCTGCATCTTCTCATAAAGTCAACGTCTTCAACTTTCTCCTTTGCTATTTTTTCCACTGGAAACATAGAAGAATGGAAGGGAAATTAAAAAGAGAAGACTGGGGGAATGGAGATAGAAGGGGAGAAAAGTGGAAGAAGGAAAAAGCAATCTCCAGTGTTTAGGTAATTCCATGTATAGGAATTTAAAGTAGTTTTTGTCAGAACTTCTTGGGCTTTCAATCAGTTGTATATAAACATCTGCTCAACTGAAAATTCAATCACATTTGGCTTAATATCAGTATCTTCTTTAAAGCACTTCCCACCCACCAACTTTTGTAAACTAAAATAGTATTAGAGTATCCTGAATATACTACTTTTCTCAGCTGGAACATTAAGCTGGGTAATTTGGTTAATTAAATACCAGCTTATATTGGGAATTCTCTGGATATATTTGTGGATTTTGGCATGCAAACCTCAGTTTTCATCATTACCTCTTAACTATGTTTACATTGGGAACTGCTTCTCATTAGATAAATGAGCCTTCTCTGAACTCCATGTTATCTGACTGCTAATGGTACCTTTAATTCTCCTTTGGATATTTTTCTATTATATTGCAGTCAATAATCTAGACATGTTCTAAGTGTCTGCAGGAGCTCTGTGCATGTGGAATGTTGACCGTGTGTCCTGGTCATGGTTGGATTTTCCTGACCTGCTTCATTGTTTTAAATCACAAGTTATATTCAGTTCAGAAGTCCATATGATAGATATGAGCTTTCAAAGCAAGTTTGGCCTTGTGAATGATTTAGACTGGTAATCACATCTGAGTTGCATGATTGCAGCCCTCTCTTGCAG